AACTCTCGAAAACCAACAATACAGCAAAACTGACAAATCACAGAGATGCAGCAACCACAGAACAATTCCTTACTATATTACCAATCACTATACTATAATTCTGAATACAAACCCTGAATCTCAACAAACACATCTAGCCAGCTAAACTAACTTCAAAAATAACGCTAACACTTGAACACACCTAAAAGAAAACGAATATTAATAGCCAACCTACAATGATATTAGGCAAACTTTATCGTCCACGTGAAATTTTTTCGAAAATCTTCAAGTGATCTAAATATTAAATTCTTATTAGTGTTTATTAATTTAGATTATTTTCTAATTGGTGTTTCCGAGACAAAAACAGAAAAACACCCGAAAAAAATATTAAATTAACATACACACAAAAACAACCTAATGAACATATGCAAGAAAAAATTAATTGACTAACGGAAACGTACCTGATCGAATCGACATCTATTACCACACACCACTCGCACACCAAACACACTCACACACGCTTCCGCAACTGTGGCAAAGGACACCTGTGTAAAGAACATGCAACTTACAAGGAAACATACGCATGTATAGCACATGCATAATAACAATGCATCACACGAATACATATGCTCAACGCTTACACATACGAACGAAACATACATATTCATATGTATTCGGAGCAAACACGCAAACCATCCACATAAATATTTATACATATAAATTCGCTCATTATTTTATTTTTCACGTCGGCCGTTTCACACCCATATAAGAGCTTTTGGGACACTTATTACTCTCATACATTTCCCCTCTTTCTTTCTATGGAGTAACGATCTTATGTCTCAACAGACTCCTCAATGCTCCACTCACTCATTTTTCCCTTCATGTCATATCTTATTAATTCACCTTGTCTTTCATAGACCCATCTACTGACAAGTGATTCCTAATTATCTGTATACATTCACTTCCTGTCCGACACTTCCCGCCCTCACAGAATCGTCATATACAGTCTTTCATTACATTAATGTTTTTGTGTTACCTCAAACCTTGGCTCTTTCTACATTCACTTTTAAATTTCCTTCTTTTCCATACCTTACCAAACTCGTTGAACCAATCTCTGCACTTCTCTTCAGAATCTCGTGAAGCCAGGTCTCATCAGCAAAAAGCAACGTGATAGTTCCCACTGCGGCGTTTAGCATTTTTATCTGCTTAACCCCCTACACCGCTGCCTAACGCCCGAAATTCAACTGTCCCTTACAGTCCAATCTATAAATATACTGAACAAGGTACGCAGTGCGTACCATTTGCTACCACACTGGGACAATACCTTGGCGTCCAGCTCACGTAGATCGTTGATCACTAAGGCAGCCAGCTTTAGGGAGAAGGTTACTGTTTTTCATCTCATCCCCTGTATTGCATAGACAATCGACCAACTAGTGATGTTTTAACAGTGCAAGAATTCGCAAGAGCAGGCGAAATAATACCAAAGCACTAATCTCTGGCAGAATGAGAACTCGAACGTGACGAACCTTTGTAACAAGGTACGCAGTGCTTTACCACTCTCACCACACTGGAAACTAACTTGGCGCCCGAGGTAGTCGATGCATTTCATGGGGATTAGATGTAAAGCGGGTAAGCCTTCTCCTGGAGAGCTGGCTGCCTTGGATGTCAGTACAGTTCTAGCGTGAGCGACGCCAATGTATTGGGCCACGTGTGGTGGAGGATAGGGGTGTGGGGAGGGAATGGTTAAAAGCTACAAGGCTACCTTGTTCCAAGGTTCGTAGGTTTTGATTCTCCTTTCGACCAGAGATCAGTGTTTGTTGTAAATTTCGCCTGCTCTTGCGGAAATTTCTTGTGTATGACTTAAAATATATATATATATATATATATTATGATATATCAAATATATATATATTTATATATATATATATATAGTATATATATTATAGATATATATATATATATATATATATATATAATATAGTATATATATATATATATTATATTATATATAAACATATATAGTATACAATACATATATATATATTATATTTAATATATTATATAGTTATATATATTTAATATTTTATATAATATATTATATATATATATATTTATATAGTATCTATATATATATGATATATATGTATGCAATACAACGCACTCTGAAAGTAATAGGAGAAATTCCAAGCGCTTTCCGTGACTACTCACATTATCATGGAAAACTATGAGAAGTGAAGCATCCAAGGAAAGCTATATAAGGGGTCCGGCCAGCACCCTCACATCAGACTCCCACATCGGTTAAACATGTGACGCGCGGCGAGCAAACTTGGATAGGTCCTTGACAAAACTCACCCCAAGCTATTTTTTGTCCAGATGTATTAATTAAATTCTTCCACATTTATTAATTATTATGGATCTAATTTATGTAACCAAAGGAAATATTCGTATTATTGTCAAAACTGCTTTTGATGAAACAAGATTAATTATATTCCTGTCGACCATGGACTTGCTTGATACTACTTGTTAAACTTTTTGGGAAAAATTCAATTGGATTGGTTAAGCATCCAAAGGAAGCTATATAAGGGTCGGGCCGAGCACCTCACTAATCAGATTCCCACAAACGGTTAAACACGTGACGCGCGGCGATGCAAACTTGGGAAGGTCCTTTGCAAAACTCACCCCCAAGCTATTTATGTTGTTGTCCGCAGTGTATTATTAAATTCTTCCCAATTCTATTTAATTATTTATGGATCTAATTTATGTAAACCAAAGGAAATATTCATATTATGTCAATAACTGCTTTTTATGAGAAACAAGATTTCAATTTATGATTGTCCTGTCGGGACCGTGGACTTGACTTGTATGTCTATTTCTCACTTTTTGAAGAATCATATGTGGGATGGTTAAAATCTCTTACATGGAATAAAATAGAGGCATTGGATTCTTGTCCAGTTCTAATGCTATATTTATGTTGTTTTAATCTTAGTTCGAATTTTTACCATGTTTGACCGTAATAAACTTTATCGCAAGTTTTACAAGGAATCGTATAAGGGACACAACATCAGCAATTTTGGGAGGGGCATTCTTAATCAAAAGTTTTTTTTTACTGTATCAAGATTTTTTAATACAACTTTAATTTTAAAAAAGGTCTTAAGAAGAGAAGGCATATCAACCAAGTTTTCATGGTAAGGGAAGAACCAACTATTTTTAGGTTGAATAAGTGGTTGCCCCTTTTTGGATTATAAGAAAGTGTTTCTAGCAACTTAAAAGATTTATCAATTACATTCTTGGGTATTTTAAATCATTACATATTCAATAAAATTTGGATAAGTTCCTCATCGATGACTAGGACTACAAATTCGTAAAACTCTCAAAAACATTGATGAGAAAACAGACGTTTTGACTCTAGTCTTGATTGCGAGGATTAATAGTGGTACTAGGAACAGTTATTGTAGGTTTTCTGTAAATTTTAAATTTGAAATCATTATTACCCTTAATAATTAAAACATCTTAGAAAAGCAATGGAGTTTTTTCTTCAGAAAACTCAACAGTAAAGTTTATGAATTGGTTAAGCTATTTTAATTTTCCAAGAAAATTGGTGGTATATCTACATTTTTGGGCATTAAGACCACAAAGATCTTTTCAATTATCTGAAACCATTTAGCTCTATTAGGAGGATTGTGTTAAGCAACCTTGTTTCAAAAAAATTCCATGTATAGGTTATAAGAACAGTGAAAGAGGATTTCCCATTGACCATACACAGTAAACTTCTGAGTGTAAAACTTATCATTAATACAAATTTGCTTCAACAATGCAAAGTTTAATAAGTTAATGATAGTAGGAACTGGCAATGGTAAATCATAGTTAACGAGTTCTTCAGATAAGAAACTTAATAAATCATCAAAAAGGAACTTTCGTAAACAAGGAAGTAACATCAAAACTAACCATGTTAAAATCATTTAAGTCAGTCAAGGAGCTTAATTTATCAACCAAGTCTATGTTGTTTTTAACATTAAAGTTAGAAATTTTGCCAACAATAGGGCTCAAAATATCAATAAGCCATTTGGATAATTTATATGAAACTGACCCTATGGAGCTAATAATTGGTCTGACTGGATTCCCTGGTTTGTGTGTTTTTATTAGTCCATACATGTAAGGTAAAGATGGATTAGTGGAAGTAAATTGTTTGACTAATTCATCTTTGCCTTTCAGTAGAAGTTTTATTGTTTTATTGAAATTGCTGTTAACGGTTTCTAGGGGATTTTCCTAAGTTTAGAATAGGTTTCAGTATCATCTAAGAGATTATTCATTTTTTCTTGGGTAATCATTTTCTTTCATAATTACTATTGCATTTATTTTGTCTGCTTTAGTAAGGCGCAAATTTTATTGTTATTAAGTGTATCATAAGACTTAAAGAATCTTTGAGGGCAATTGGGAATGTTTGGTTTTAACATAGAGCTGTATACCATTCCTTTACTAATATTAATTTCATCAGAGGATAAATCAGAAAATTTTTCAAAGTTACAAAAGGCTTTTGCAATTTCAACATTATTAAGTTTTTTTTAAGTTGCAAAACTTAGGCCAAAACCTAGAGCAGCAGTTGTATGTTTGTCTAAAATTTCATCTGATAAGTTAATTACAAAATTGTTATTAGCATGCTTTGTCCAATCACTATTTTCAATTAAAATGTCTAATTTTCTTTGTAGTTTGCTCTTGAGTTCATTACAAATTCTTCTGAGTTTATTATAGCAATGATCCAACATACTGTGTTTCCATTCTGAAGGAATGGCCT